TTAAACATGAACCATTTAGAGTTGTTGTTTTTATGGACACAGCTCACCAAATATTTCTACGCCGTCACCCACGAATGTAGGGCAAAATTTATTTCTAGTCTTTCTCTTCCTTTCCCTTTTTCCCCCTTTTGCATGGCGATTTTTGTTGACTTTTTGGTGTAGAATCGAAGAAAAGGGTTTGAAAATACATTTTCTACCAGGTTTTGGTGAATATTCATGATTTTGAGGCGGAAGGATACAAGAGTTGAGAGGTTGGTTAGGTTGAAATGTAGGGTCCAAAATTGCATGTTTTCTTGTCTCTACTTCCAGCTTGTGTATCTCAAGTTTTCCATGGTGAACCTCATACGTGCTTTTGGGCAAGAGGTTGCCACATGTTGCTCCATCTGTGGTAGAAAGCGTTCTACCCAACGAAAATTTGGGAAAAAGTTAGAGCCGGTCTAAGAGACGAGAATTTACATTAAAGTCAATGGGCAAATGTTTAGTGATCTGTGGCCTTATGGTCACATTTATTATAGATCAGAGTTAACTCCCCTTGTCCCATTAAATATAGACGATTGCATATATCATTGCACTGTACAACGTCCCAACTGTCACGGAAGCGAGAGAGAGAGAGAGAGAAATGGGATTTAACGTCCACTCGACACAAACTAGGTCATTTCGGGACTAACATATGGTTTAATTTATTTCAATAATTCGCTTGCGCGTAGGGGTCTTTAGCAGTGGGAGGAAACCGGAGGACCCGGAGAAAACCCACGAGGTTGGACAGGCGACCCTACTCCTTGTCACGTACACACCGGGGATTCGAAACCACGCCAGTTGACTCAATGACAGGCCGTATGATACAGCACGCACGTGCTAACCATTCGGCCATCCAACCCCCCGTCATGGAAGCAAAGTCTGTATTAAGCGAAATGAAGTACGGTTTAACGGTCTACTGTTTTGCAGCGACTGAGATTGTCTACTATGACTTACTCTTATTTCGAATTCTAACTGGTAAGGGGTTTTTTTTAAATGCACGCCAATGTGCAAATTGGGCCGCGGGTTTCCATTCCATCCAAACGACGAGACGCTGTCCTTGCACAACCCCCGTCCTGCACCATTGAGAAGGGGAAACAACTCCTGAAAACCCCGAGGGAGTTATATGATGGACTTAACGTGTAGACTTCATGACTCTGTTTGGATGTGTGGGGTCGATGGTTTGGGTTCGTTGAGTAAAGATATCGTTCACAGGTTATGAATGAAATGGGGTTTAACGTCCTACTGTTCTGCTCTGATTGGTCTAATGAAGACGGGATCATATTTTTAAGTTATAATTTTAAAACGTATTAAAATGAAGCCTTAAAATAGATGGTATCTATAAACAGTCCTACTTTGTTAAAGAATAATCCTATTAATCCTATAATTCACTATTGCCAGTTGAGAAATTGGCAAAAATATAATTTTCAACTTCAAATTCAAACGTTTGAAGATAGCTATTCCATTTGGGGAATAGAAAATCAAGGGGGGTAATTGTGTTATTATTTCCGGGGGTGAATGAATTTTAAGTGTGAGAATGATACCTATGATCGTATAATAGTGAGTTGACAACCTATTGAGCAAAAGACATAGAAATAATTATGTTTTGACTTTCTTAGAAAATATGAAATTATCGCTTTAAAGACTCAAACTAAGAAGGCATATAAAATGAAATGTAATGGGTTAATGTCCTATTTTGGGGGTACAAACCGGCATATTAAGGACGGGCATTGTGCAATTAGAGGAAATTTGGCCCGGGCAGGAGTGCTACGGCGCACCCTTTTTTTAGAATTCGTTTAGGGATAGTAAACTGTTAAAGGTTCTTTTACGTGGACATCAACGTGTACATCCGAATTACCAGACGATCAATCTAATTAAAATATAGATCTATATTTCGTTTCTTTTTTTTTTTACTTTTGAACTATAAAAACGAAACGAAATTGGATCTGTGTTTTAATCAGATTGCCAGACGATTAGCGTTACGAGTCCACGGAGGAATTTCTCGACCAACACCGGATCGAAAACGAGAGTTCCTGGGGTCTGTTTCACGAAATTTTAACTAAGATAAAATCCAAATTTTAGTTATTTGATTGGATAATATTATATTGATTTTAGTGCTTAGCCAATTAAAATTGAAGTACCTACTAAAATTTGGATTTTATCTTTAGTAAGAATTCGAGAAACAGGGCCCGGGTTACTAAGGCAGCGGCATACTCACTGTGTAACAACAGTACATGCATAACCATTACTTTAAAGGTAGCATTATAAAAATCTTTAAAAAATGAAATGGAGTTTTTTTTGCAATGACGAGGCTAATGAAGATGGGCATGCAGTGTGCTATAAGGCCAATCTTGTCCGGACAGCGGCGCTACAGCATGCTCTTTTATCGAATTCCAACTTTCAGGGGATCTCTTTCGTGAATGTCAGAGGGCCTGACAAGGACAGCTGTCTAGTCCTTCGGATGAGACGAAAAACCGAGGTCCCGTGTATACATTGGAATGCACGTAAAAGATCCCTTGGCAGTTGGAATTCGATATAAGAGTAGACGATAGTGCCGCTGCCCGGGCAACATTTCCCTCATAGCACACTGTATGGCATATGTCCGTCTTCATTAGCCCAGGTTAGGAGCAGAACAGTAGGACGTTAAACCCCATTTCATTTCATTTTCATTTCATTTCGTGAATGTCAATGTGTATACGAGACCTTGGTTTTCCGTCCCATCCGAACGACAGTACGTTTTCTCTTACCACGTCCTCTATCCTGCACCTCTGACAAGGGGGAACCAGTCCGGAAAATCACGATTAACTTTCTACGGCCTACTCTTATACCTAATTCCAACTGCCACGTGTTCTAGTACGTGCATGCCAATGTATACACGGGACATCGGGTTTTCGTCCAATTTGGCGAGGTTGGACAGGCGACCCTACTCCTTGTTACGTAAAATCGGGGAGGTTTTTTGTCCCATTTGACGAGGTTGGACAGGAGACCCTACTCCTTTTCACGTAAAATCGGGGAATCGAAACCACGCCAGTTGATTCAATGACAGGCCTTATGATACAGCGCGCACGCGCTTACCATTCGGTCATCCAACCCCGGCTAAATATAATTGTTAAGACCAGCTCAACTTTTGTCAAGGTCGCTGAGATGTATATGCGGTTAGGGCACGTGATAGTTGGCGAGATTTTATTTAGGGTAAGCATTTGGGTTAGGGTTGGGATTAGCGCTAGCCCTGTTTACATCTCGTGACTTATGACGAAAAATTGAGCTGGCCTTATCATTTAGTAGTAACCACCCAGGAGCCCCACGAGATCTGAAGTTGAGTTCCGACTATAAAACAAACATACCTAACGCCTTACCAAAACACCAAACACAAGTTGTAATGCAATCAGAATTCAGTCAGGTCACTGATAAAAACAACAAACGTTCGACAACAACAGATGAATTATCGTCGATCATTAATTTCAGATATATTGCATTATGTTCAACTTCTGTTGATATTTTAAAGAAAAGATAGATGACTTTCTCAACAAAGATGTCTAACAAGGCGCGAGAGGGATCAATGTGACCGTGTCCTAACATTTGGTGTATATCTTATGAATATGACAACAGCAATCGTAAACGCAGTATATTGATCACTGACCTTCAAATTTAAATTAACCGAGCTTGCAATTATTGGTAAGGGTTTTCATATTTGTCTGTTGTCACGATGGCTAAGTGGCTAGCCTGGAGGTCGCGTCTTCGATCTCTGCATTGGCCGAGAAAGTTCATCGGGTTTTCCGGCGGGGTTTCCTGACACCAACAGCTGTCTTGTCGTTCAGATGAGACGAAAAACCGAGGGCCCGTGTATACATTGGCGTGCACGTAAAAGATGCCTTGGCAGTTGAAATTCGATGTAAGAGTTGTCTATTTTGGCCCTGCCTAGGCAAAATTTCCCTCATAGTACACTGTATGGCGTATGCCCGTCTTTGTTAGCCCAGTAGGAGCAGAGCAGCAGGACGTTGCATCATAGAGTCAGTCATTGAGTCAAGTGGCGTGTTTTCGATTTCCTGCTTGACAAGGGGTAGGGTGGACCGTCCAACCTTGCGGGGTTTCTCTGGGTCCTTTGGTTCCATCACACTGCTCAGAACCCCTAGGCGCAAGCGAATTATTGAAATAGAATTGAACCATACGTTAGTCTCCAAATGACCTAGTTTGTGTTCAGTGGACGTCAAACCGATCTCTATCTTTAGCAGCTAATCCCCGGATCTGATATGTACGTTTGTTTGTGATTTCTGCGTATTGCGTATTGTGTCATGTCCGTAGATTTGTTTTGTGTAATTGTGTGTGGTGCAGTCGCCCTGCGCTTAGTTCTTCGCGAATCAAAATGCACTGATAATTGTCACACCAAACCATTGACTTTTGGCTATATATAGTAGGGATGTCGTGCACTAAGCATGTGCTTGTGCTGCCTAAAGCACCCGATTTCACTTCTTATTGGAGTAGTTTACATAAAACACAGATCCATTTCGTTTCGTTTTTTATAGTTTAAAATTTCGTTTTACTTGTCTTTACTACACTAGGATCTGCAAGAGCTGTTATATTATCGGCGTTCTGGTTGATGTGGGGTATTAACCAATGAAACGGTTTGTTACCGTGAGTTCTTGGCGTGCGATGCACGGAACTGTGGGTAAACCATGGGGTCAAAAGCCGCTTGTACAAGCCCTGACGCAACCTTCCAGTACAACCGGTCAGGCCTCCATGAAGTGTGGGGCATCGAAAGTATAAAAAAACGAAACGAAATATAGATCTGTATTTTAATCAGATGGATGGTTTATGAACATGCGTACACCTTATTTTCAGATGCCTTTGAGTAATGAAAATCTTGTCTAGTAAAAGCAAAGCACTTTGTAAGGCTAAAATGGAAGAGGGGCGGAGTTAAAGCCTAACATTTCCTAAGCCCTAATTGGGTTTCGCCCTTCTCTCTATTTTTCAGAAAATGGTTTCTCCATGTCAACTAAATCGTTACCATGTGGCAGTATTGGTTATGTTATTCATTATTTGCTCTTTAAGCTGGCTAGATGTTCGAGAAACTTATTATTTTAAATTCGGAAGAGTTGTGAAAGAGAGGTGTGTATGTATATTTACTGTAGACCAAATTTGATTGGCCTTTACACCGGGGAGTAACGGTGGTTTAGTGAGTAAGACGTTGGCTCCGTAACCTGGAGGTTCCGTGTTCGTTTCCTGCGTTGGTCTGGAAAATTTATTGTGATTTTCCCGTGTGGTTCATCCTTGTGAGTGCTGCAGGAAAGAGGGCCTGGCAAGGGGCAACGTATAATCGTTCTGGTGGGACGAAAACCCAAGGTCCCGTGTACACATCGGCGTGCACATAAAAGAGCCCTTGGCAGTTGGAATCCGACATAAAAGTAGTTTGTATAGTGCCGCTGTCCGGGCAAAGTTTCCCTCGCAGCCCTTACCCTAACCCACAATCACGTGTCCGAACTCTGTTTACCTTGACGAAATCAGGGGTGCGGGGTGGGGGCTGGGAGTGGGGGGGGGGCTTAATATTTAGATCTGGCAGTTCATCCACGAGGTATGATGGACGTATTCAAAATATCTGCCATTGACAGCAGCTTGATTCTACGTACCAATCAAAAACAGTTTACAAACGAGTCTTAGCCTCATTGCTTACGTTTACAACAATATGTTATCTTGTTTGTTGCAACAAGATGAGAGTTACTTCCCTACGCCAACTTCCTTTGTATTTAACTATGCTTTTGATTGGTCGATAAAAATACCACAGTCATCGAGAGCCGATAATTTTAACACGTGTCTCCCCCATGGGTGAACCCAGGGGATTAGTGGAGTTGAACGGAATGAGACCACAGGGGATACCGAGGATGTGATTAACACAGGGATTAGTGGATTAGAAGGGAATGGGGCCACAGGGGAAACCAAGGATGTGATTAACCCAGGAATTAGTGGAGTTGAATAGAATGAGACCACAGTGGATACCGAGGATGGAGTATAATATGAATATTCTCAAGGAGGCGGATATACTGTTGACGTACATTAAAGGGGAATAATTCCAATCATTCTTTGTACTTTTTTTTGCAAATTTACACCGGATAAAAAATAAACCATATCGTGTCATATCGAGTTTAATCAGAAATAAACATGTATTCGAAGTATAACATAGTTATTTGTAATGCGACAGAGATATTACTAACAATGCATTAAAGATAGGTACTTCGGAAAAGCCGTAAAATGTTTGCAGAAAGTAATGATTCTCTAATATTTGATATTTCCAGATTATTTCAGAAGAACGACAAATGGATCATAACACCGGCGAACGACAATTTGTCATTTGCTCTTCAGCATAACTTCAATTGGAGTGTTCTACAAACAGCCTCCACGAAAAGGTATAGTTAACGTTTCTAGCCTGATCTGTAGCATAACGCCAACTCAACCCCGTGGGTTATTTGTATGGTAGCACATCTAATTTGTTTTGGGTTGTTAATATAGCTAACAAAATGGGGTTGGGTTGTTCACATAGCTAATAAAATGAGGTTGGATTGTTCACATAGCTAACAAAATGAGGCTGGGTTGTTCCCATGGCTAACAAAATGAGGTCGAGTTGTTCCCATCGCTAACAAATTGAGGTTGGGTTGTTCCAAAAGCTAACCTCGGTGTTAGCCGGGAAGGTTCAGCGGAATTTCACAGTGTGATTTCCCTCTGTCGGTGGTGCGCGACGGTGGGCCTGCCAATGCACAGCTGCTAGACTTTCGGATGGGACGAAACAACGAGGTCCCGTGTACAAGAAGCGTTCACAATTGGAATGCAATTGCTTATCGACTAAAGTTCCTTCGTGGACCTTTTCATTCATATTACGTATCATTCATATTCGTATCACAAGGTTTGTCATTGAGTCAACTGGCGTGGTTTCGATTCCCCAGCTGTGCGTGACAAGGAGTTGGGTCGCCTGTCCAACCTCGTGGGTATATCTCTCTCTCTCTCTCTCCCTCTCCCTCTCTCTCTCTTTCTCTCTCTCTCCAGGCAAAAGTTTGCCTCTAGTATTGCATGATGGAGGTAAGGAAAATGGCGTATATGATAATTAGTCCTGTGATGACCCAGTTGTGTTGAGATATGTTACACGACAGTTCTCTTCTTTCAGGTGTTTTCCGTTTGCCTCATCAGCTCTAGAAGATTTAAGTTTAACAGCTATCAAGAACGGAGCTAGATATATCTATCTATCATCCCACGTGAATAACAAAACTGCATCAATATTAAATAGATTTTATTATGAAAGTAAATATATGACGGGGTTAAGATATAACGGTGTCCTAAAATTCCCGCTTCTCTCATACCTCCACGATCTTTCCAAAACTAAATCCAGAGTGCCATATTTCAGTTATGACCTTGGTGTGTGGCGAACGGATCCAGTGCAGAAGATTTTCCATAATGAGAATTTACCATCCGTGAACTCTCATCCATTCGTCGATTCTAGATCACCTTCTGTGATTCTACCGGTGGGAAAACTTCAGCCATTTGTCAAGGAAGATGTGCTGTTTCATTACGATTCATTTTGGGCAATTGTGCCATTACAAAATAAGAACATATTGTGGTCTTTTTGGATTCAAAAACTTCTAGAGGAAATAAATAGATCAGTAACGTTCTTTTTCACTAACAACAATATGGACGATGATTGTAAAGCTCCCAAAATGAACGTGTTGTCACTCATGGAGGATTGGAAATGTAGCAACCGGACGAGTTTCTTTTCGTGTATTTTAGAATTAAGTAAAACAATGGAGGACAATGACTTAATACAGAATTCGGAGTATCTCACGATAAGTAATTGGTTAGAAAATCTTTTAAAAATCGATTACAAAATGCCTTTATTGAAGAAAAGGGTGACCAGAAAGATTTCTATTAAACCCGTTAATAGCGTGCTGTTTCATCCAGCAATAAGAACAAAATTTCGAAATCGAAATGTAACATTCAAGAACATATGCCCTAATGGTATGTCTGTGTGTCCAGTGTACGTTAAGGAACCTTTCAAAACGATCGACAATATACTACTGGTAATTGTGTTCAATACGGTGGGTTATTATCAGATACTGCATTATTTAGAGAAACTATATAGGCCAGTCTTTAAACAAATTCTCTACTGCGGTCGAAAGATACAATTGTTTGTAAAAACGTACAACGCCTTGAATTATCCAGTTTCTTTTGTGGAAGTGCATCCTAATTTTTATTACGGAACTTTGGGATACAACTGTCTTCGCAAGGCGATGATGATGAATTATGATGTTGAGGGATATTTTCATGTCGGCGACGATGTTTTGTTAAATGTTTGGAATCTACACAATCTTCCCAGAGACAAGTTATGGTTCCAAAAGAGTATTCGAGTTGCAAACATTTTTCAGGAGAAGGTTCCAGATATAACGAGATGGCGCAAGCGGAACTGGGCACCGTGGCGTCAAGTTCGGGGAAAAGTAAGAATCATCGAGGTTTTGGATCAACTGGGACGTTTACGTCAAACAAACGAAATGGTGAAAGGATTTCTCGATCAACTAGCAGAAAATGCTGGAGGTATCAACAAGGTATTCTATGAGGCGTCCGATATCTATTACATTCCACGAAAATTTGTCAAGCAATACTTATTCTTCATTGAGAAGTTTAGCGACAACAATCTGTTTCTTGAGATTGGTATTCCGACTTTAATGAACGGACTCGTGAAACAGGATGAAATTGTTCGACTTAAAGGGACGTATTTATGGTATCAGGATAGAGTATTATACAATAACACTTTTAATCATACTCATGTTTTTATGCACGCCTTTAAAGTTAACCCTTGCATGAAGTCCGTATCATGTAAACAGTTTCTTTGTAATAAATATTTACCGTGTCTTTAGTACAAGAAAAGAAATATATCTCAATGGGTTTGTTTGTTTGGTTGTTTTTTTTTGGGGGGGGGGGGCGAATGGTTCAACGCGTGCGCTTTTGATCACAAGGTCCGTCGTCGAGCTAATAATATTAATAATAATAATAATTGATTTGTATAGCGCCAACAATTCAACTCAGCGAGCTGCTCTCGGGCGCTTTACATAAGAACAACTAATATAAAATTACAACAATCACAACACTTTAATCCATAAAAGAAAGAAATAAACAAAAAACGGAGAACATTATTTAGTACACATGGTAAAAGTTTCGATTCCCAGGAATAGGTTCACCTATCTAATATTGTGGGTTTTCTCCGGGTCATTTTCGATTATCGCCTACCTCGGGGGGGGGGGGGGATGGCCGAATGGTTAGCGTGTGCGCGCTGTGTCATAAGGTCAGTCGTTGAGTCAACTGGTTTCGATTTCCCGGTTGTACGTGACAAGGAGTTGGGTCGCCTGTCCAACCTTGTGGGTTTTCTCCGGGTCCTTCGGTTTCCTCCCACTGCTAAAGACCTCTACGCGCAAGCGAATTATTGAAATAGAATTGAACCATATGTTAGTCCCGAAATGGCCTAGTTTGTGTCTAGTGGACGTTAAACACACTCTCCCTCTCTCTCTCTCTCTCTTTACCAGTAGATTTGACAAAACTATTGAACAAAGCAATAAATCTGTACTCGCCTCACAATATATTCCAACCCCGCCTCCTTCACCAAAAACAAAAAACAAAACAAATGTAAAACAATCTCATGAAATCAGTTTTATTCGTAGAAACCACACAGAATAGAAATCAAAAATCAAATCTGTGAAGAAAAACTAGTCATTTATCTTATCCACAATCGTGAGAGTTTCACAGTATGTTACGGGGTTTTAAAAAACCTACAGCCTTGGTTTATATGCTTTTTATCAAAATTTAACACACATTTGTATGAGAGTTTCACAGTATGTTACGGAGATTCAAAAATTATAGCCTTGGTATATATACATTTAATTAAAATTTAACACACATTTTATATACATATAGACAATTCAACAATTGGTTTAGAATAGTTTACCTTTGTATTGAGCTGACAGTGTTTACCATCATGGCGATGCTTGCCCTTCTATTCGGGCTCTGTTCGATTATTGGAGTGTATTCCAACATCTACATAGATGTTACGCATTCTAAAATAGTCCAACGGATTGATTATAAATTTGTTGGAAGTATTTTAGACTGTGGTATGATTAAACATAATTGGGGTACTTTCGATTTCAAGTAAGTGGGATATTTTTTTATTATTTTTTTTTTAAATTTTAGCCGCTTTAGTACAGTGCGTAAGACGGCGGCTCGCTAATCAGGAGGTCCCCGATTAAGGAACCTTTCAAAACGATCGACAATATACTACTGGTAATTGTGTTCAATACGGTGGGTTATTATCAGATACTGCATTATTTAGAGAAACTATATAGGCCAGTCTTTAAACAAATTCTCTACTGTGGTCGAAAGATACAATTGTTTGTAAAAACGTACAACGCCTTGAATTATCCAGTTTCTTTTGTGGAAGTGCATCCTAATTTTTATTACGGAACTTTGGGATACAACTGTCTTCGCAAGGCGATGATGATGAATTATGATGTTGAGGGATATTTTCATGTCGGCGACGATGTTTTGTTAAATGTTTGGAATCTATACAATCTTCCCAGAGACAAGTTATGGTTCCAAAAGAGTATTCGAGTTGCAAACATTTTTCAGGAGAAGGTTCCAGATATAACGAGATGGCGCAAGCGGAACTGGGCACCGTGGCGTCAAGGTCGGGGAAAAGTAAGAATCGTCGAGGTTTTGGATCAACTGGGACGTTTACGTCAAACAAACGAAATGGTGAAAGGATTTCTCGATCAACTAGCAGAAAATGCTGGAGGTATCAACAAGGTATTCTATGAGGCGTCCGATATCTATTACATTCCACGAAAATTTGTCAAGCAATACTTATTCTTCATTGAGAAGTTTAGCGACAACAATCTGTTTCTTGAGATTGGTATTCCGACTTTAATGAACGGACTAGTGAAACAGGATGAAATTGTTCGACTTAAAGGGACGTATTTATGGTATCAGGATAGAGTATTATACAATAACACTTTTAATCATACTCATGTTTTTATGCACGCCTTTAAAGTTAACCCTTGCATGAAGTCCGTATCATGTAAACAATTTCTTTGTAATAAATATTTACCGTGTCTTTAGTACAAGAAAAGAAATATATCTCAATGGGTTTGTTTGTTTGTTTGTTTTTTTTTGGGGGGGGGGCGAATGGTTCAACGCGTGCGCTTTTGATCACAAGGTCCGTCGTCGAGCTAATAATATTAATAATAATAATAATTGATTTGTATAGCGCCAACAATTCAACTCAGCGAGCTGCTCTCGGGCGCTTTACATAAGAACAACTAATATAAAATTACAACAATCACAACACTTTAATCCATAAAAGAAAGAAATAAACAAAAAACGGAGAACATTATTTAGTACACATGGTAAAAGTTTCGATTCCCAGGAATAGGTTCACCTATCTAATATTGTGGGTTTTCTCCGGGTCATTTTCGATTATCGCCTACCTCGGGGGGTGGATGGCCGAATGGTTAGCGTGTGCGCGCTGTGTCATAAGGTCAGTCGTTGAGTCAACTGGTTTCGATTTCTCGGTTGTACGTGACAAGGAGTTGGGTCGCCTGTCCAACCTTGTGGGTTTTCTCCGGGTCTTTCGGTTTCCTCCCACTGCTAAAGACCTCTACGCGCAAGCGAATTATTGAAATAGAATTGAACCATATGTTAGTCCCGAAATGGCCTAGTTTGTGTCGAGTGGATGTTAAACACACTCTCCCTCTCCCTCTCTCTCTTTACCAGTAGATTTGACAAAACTATTCAACAAAGCAATAAATCTGTACTCGCCTCACAATATATTCCAACCCCGCCTCCTTCACCAAAAACAAAAAACAAAACAAATGTAAAACAATCTCATGAAATCAGTTTTATTCGTAGAAACCACACAGAATAGAAATCAAAAATCAAATCTGTGAAGAAAAACTAGTCATTTATCTTATCCACAATCGTGAGAGTTTCACAGTATGTTACGGGGTTTTAAAAAACCTACAGCCTTGGTTTATATGCTTTTTATCAAAATTTAACACACATTTGTATGAGAGTTTCACAGTATGTTACGGGGATTTAAAAATTATAGCCATGGTATATATACATTTAATTAAAATTTAACACACATTTTATATACATATAGACAATTCAACAATTGGTTTAGAATAGTTTACCTTTGTATTGAGCTGACAGTGTTTACCATCATGGCGATGCTTGCCCTTCTATTCGGGCTCTGTTCGATTATTGGAGTGTATTCCAACATCTACATAGATGTTACGCATTCTAAAATAGTCCAACGGATTGATTATAAATTTGTTGGAAGTATTTTAGACTGTGGTATGATTAAACATAATTGGGGTACTTTCGATTTCAAGTAAGTGGGATATTTTTTTATTATTTTTTTTTTTAATTTTAGCCGCTTTAGTACAGTGCGTAAGACGGCGGCTCGCTAATCAGGAGGTCCCCGATTCGCTTCCTTTGTTGGCCAAGAAAGTTACTCTGGATTATCTGGCGGGGGTTCCCCTTGTCAGTGAAGCAGGACGAAGGACCTGACAAGGAAATGTGTCTAGTCGTTCGGACAGTACGAAAATGGGGGTCTCGTGTACACATTGGTATGTACCTTCGAGACCCATTGACAGTTGGAGTTCGAACATAGCACACTGTATGGCACACTGTATGCCTGTCTTCATTGGCCCAGTTCGGAGCAGAACAGTAGGACGTTAAACCCCATTTCATTTCATTTATCATTAATAATGAAAACAATAATGAAGTAGAGTGTAGAGGAGACCACAAAAGGTTTAGTATTATAAATAATATGTACTTATTTTACATACATAGTTCGGCAAAAATGTTAGCTCTTGCTAAAGGATTGGGTCCAAGTTATTTACGAGTTGGTGGAACGGATGCTGATTATATGGTATTCACGAGAAACAACAATGCCAGAAATAAACGATTTATCTTGGGTCCCAGTACGAAAGGACATCCTAACTTTTACATAATGGGTTAGTAACACGTAAAATATATATAAATCGAAAAATATATTAAAAACGACATTTTCTCAAAATATGTTATCTATTAAACATACATTATGCAAGAGCTAAATCTGCCTATTGCAGGTCTTTCTTTAGGCCTGAAATGTTTTCTAAATTATTAATTAGATATTGATTAACTTATCCAGGCTATAATCGGATTTCTCCGATATTAAATAGATTAGAACAGTTCAGCCATATTTTGATTTAAGCTAAAAATGGAGGAGCGAGACTTAGCTTCGAACAACCAGTACGGTAGTTGAAATTATTGCACACGTCTTGTCGAACCTTCAAAAGCTAATATCTTCGCTCGCAAGAGAGTAATTCAAATTGAATGAAATTTTCAAATTATCCATTTTAAGTTATCTATTTTCGAACTATTATAGCAAGAATGGCTAGCTCTTTATCTAAATCTTACATAATGTATCTTTAATGTGTGTAGTTATAATTTAAACGCCATTTTTTACCCTGTGGGGTTTGCATTATAAGGGATCTAATTGACGTTATTCTAAACGTAGTCGAAAGTATTCTTTCAAAATTTATTAGCACCACAAAGTTTTTAAAACTGAATATCCCTGTCAGTCTAGAAATGTTTTTGAATTATGCATGCGTCTTTCTTTCAAATTGGGAATGCAGACATTAAAATACATATTATTTAGCGGCGGACCAATGGGTTTTCTTGGGACCCCTATCGCGGTGAAGAATACGAAAACGAAACTAACTGGGTTCTCCTTTCCAGCAGTCCGGTTTACTCCCACTGCTAAAGACCCCTACGCGCAAGCAAATTAATGAAATAAAATTGAACAATATGTTAGTCCCGAAATGACCTAGTTTGTGCGAGTGGACGTTACACCCCATTTCTCTCTCTCTCTCTCTCTCTCTCTCTCTCTCGTTTATGTATTTGCCCAGTTACTAAATGACACTTAATGAACATCTATTCTGTTGTAGCCAGTGATTGGGATAAATTAAATCATTTTATACAAACGGTTGGATGGGATCTGATATATGATCTGAATATTGCTCCCCGTAAAAATGGTAAATGGGATCCGACCAATACTATTGATCTCTTAAAATATACAGCTGAAAAGGGTTATAAAGTTTATGGTTTGGAACTCGGCAATGGTGAGTAAACTTGTTAAATATAGACGATTGCATATGAAGAGCTCCGGGAGAAGAACGATCTAAGTCAACTTTTCAACGGACCCCAGTTAATGGCGCCATCTGGTAGTAAATTGTATAAGCTTTCTGTGGAACAATCAATTTCAGGTAAAACGATCCGAGTCACATCGAAACAAGGCCCATTTGAAATGGCCTCCCGGACAAATACGTCCATCGAACCCTTTATTTGACCATAATTTGGCTGTAAAGTTGAAGTCAGTAGTTGTACTGGTAATTATGATTCGTATTAAACATCATTTTGAAGTTGTAATTAAACTCACTCGCTGTTCTGTTCGCGTCAAGCATTCTCGTCCAAAAGTCTGTTTTGCCTTTTATGCGAAAAAACAAAACAGTGACAGAAGTACATTCCATTAAAATTTAAAACAAATTCAAATGAGACTTGTAAACCGTTTTAAAGTTGAAGGACGGTACATCGATTCCTTTAGATTAAGCATGCAACTCTTTATAAGAGAGGGGGTGACGGTGGGTAAGTGGGTAAAACGCTGGCTTGTTAGCCTGGCGGTCGCGTGTTCGATCCCTGCATTGGCCGAGAAAGTTCATCGGTAATTTCCGACGTGGTTTCCCCTTGTCAGTGATGCAGGACGGGGGGCTTGACAAGGACAGCTGTCTAGTCATTCGGCTAAGACGAAACACTGTATACATTGGCGTGAACGTAAAAGATCCCTTGGCAGTTGGAATTCGATATAAGAGTAGGCCATAGTGCCGCTGCCCGGGCAAAATGTCCCTCATCGCACACTATATGGCGCATGCCCGTTTTCATTAGCCCAGTCGGAGCAGCACAGTAGAACGTTATACCCCATTTCATTTCAATCCATTTCTTTTTAAAGTGACGTCGCCACGCGCAATCTCTAAATTACAAGCGGGGAATCGAAACCACGCCACTTGAATAAATGACAGACCTTGTGATCTACACAAGCACGCGCGTGCAACCATTCGCCCCCCTCCCCCTCCTTCCCGCCTCCTGCCACCAATCAACAAGCTTAATTCACTCTGGTCAAGATTTTTTGGCGCTAAAACATCTGTTACCAACAATTCATGGCTTACATATACCTAAAATATTCGGACCAGATGTTACCAATCTTGACGTTGTTAGTTTTACAGAAAGGTTTGGAATCGAACGTATTTAAAGATACATTATGTAAGATTTAGATAAAGCGCTGACTGTTCTTGCTATACAAGTGTAAGATTAGATTATTGAAAATGGATATTATGAAACTTTCTGTCAAATTGCTTAATTCTGAGTGAAGTTATGGTGTTTAAAGTTATGATAAGATATAGGGTAAATAATTCCGATTGCCAAATATAATTGCTTCAATAATAAAGACAGTTCTTCAATAAGTTACCTCCGTAAGTGCTGTTCATATTAACGTAGATATTGCAATATTACTAATTCACTCGCTATCTTAGTCACCTGATGGTCTAGAGAGTTTATTATCGGCTTGCAATGTGAATAAATGTCTAAATAATAATTTATACAACATGTATAGCCAGTAAAAAAATCCTGCAATAGGCAGATTTGACTCTTACATAATGCATCTTTAATTGCTGATATTTCTTGAAACATTTTATTAACAAGTAGAAGCGAAACCCGTCACCACCGCAACGCAGTTTGGCCATTTATTATCTCTTTTGCAGACACTTAGCATATTTTTAGAAATGTGTTATCTGCCGGGTGGTTGGAGGGAGGGGGTCTAGTGGTTTTATTAACAGGTAGAAGTTTCTAGCTAAACCCGTCACCGCCGCAACGCAGTTCAGTCATTTATTATCCCTTTTGCAGACACAGAGCATATTTTTAGAAATGTGTTATCTGCCGGGTGGTTGAGAGGTCTGGTGATTTAACTCGTGCGAAGTGAAACCATAAGGTCTGTCATTGAGTCAAGTGGCGTGGTTTCGATACCCAACTTGTACGTGGCCAGACGTGGTGTCGCCTGTCCAGCTTCGTGGGTTTTCCCCGGGTCCATCATTTTCCTCCCACTGCAAGCGAATTATTGAAATAAAATTTAAACGTATGTTATTCCCGATATGACCTGGTTTGTGGACGTTAAACCCTACCTATACCAAAAACATGTGATCATTTTATATTTTCAGTTTTCTGACTCACGGGGGTAGAGAGGCGGTTGATGCAGTTACCTTTCATCAGTAAGTTTAATACTTTTATAAGAACATTTACAATGATTTTTATAATTGAAAAAAAAATATGTGTTTCTTACACGTGGCCATAGATTTGTTTTTTTAAAAACAATCCTTGGGCCCCCCACAAATGTTCCCAGCTGGTTTGAAAATGGTTAAAAGTGTTGACCAGATATTATTATTCTTTTGGGGTTTTTCTTTGCACACAGACAGCCGCAGTGGCCCAGGGAATAGGGTGTTGGCTCACTATCTGGAGTGGTTCACTAGTTATTATTAGCCCACTAAAACCTAATACTATAGTTACGATTAGCACACTAAAACCTAATACTATATTTATTTCAGTTATTATTAGCACACAGAAACATAATACTAGTTATGATTAGCACACTAAAACCTAATACTAGTTATGATTTGCACACTGAAACCTAGTACTATATTTATTTTAGTTATTACATGGGCGGTTCACATGCATCCGTATTAGAATATCGTAGTGCTCACGTGCTGGATTCATTGAAACATAAAGTCGATACGGCTATCAATACGTGTAAGAAATATGCCCCTGGTAAACCTGTATGGTTGGCTGAAACATCTGTTGCATGGAGCTCTGCACCAAACAATTTAAACAACCAATACGTTGCTAGTTTCGCGTAAGTAGTACCAATTACATATATTTTGTTGTTTTCCTTAAATATAAAATTAATATTAAATGTTTTATTATACTTTACGGTACTCACTAGTACCGTACATTTTACATATCCGTGTTTTTTCTAATAGAATTCCCACCTAGTGGGTTTTCTCCGGGTCCTTTGGTTTCCTCCCACTGCTAAAGACCCCTACGCGTAAGCGAATTATTGAAAAATAAAATTGAACCATGTGTTAGTCCTGCAATGAGCTAGTTTGTGTCGAGTGGACGTTAAACCCTCTCTCTCTCGCGTCAGGGGTCATACGAGCGGCTTTTGACCCTATGACGTCATGCAGACATTGATTAATCAATGAGCTTTGGCGTTTCTAAGGGTTTGCCCACAGTTCCGTACAGAGCACACCAAGAACTCACCGTAACAGACCGCTTCATTGGCTAATTCCTCACATCAAGTAGAACGCCTGTTATATAACAACTCTTCCAGATCCTAATGTACTAAAGACAAGGAAAACGAAATTTTGAAATATAAACACGCAGTCTTCTTTTATTGCTGTTTATCGCCTGTCCAACCTCGTGGGTTTTCATCGGGTTCTCCGGTTTCCTCCCACGGCCAAATACCCCTACCCGTAAGCGAATTAATAAAATTAAATTGAACCATATATTAGTCCCGAATATATTAGTCTCCATGCCACATACGTTCACACTTGGGATCAATATCACGACCGGAAGTCAGAGGTGATGGACCAACTAGAACTCTAAGCTCTTATTAAAATTAAAGTAGTGTGAGGTTTACCCATATATAGTGTTTAATTTAAATTACAGTTGGTTGGATAAATTGGGAATATCAGCTCAAAGAGGAATCAAGGCTGTTTTGAGACAAACATTCTACGGCGGATTAATATCAATAATAATGTAAGTTTTGGCCCTCAAAACCGCTGATCACCTTTTGGTGATTCTTCCAATTTGCAATATTGAGAAATAGAGAATATCAAAAAAAACAAGTAGAAGATTTTATTTATCACCCAACTCTTTGTTATACGTCACAAAATATTAGCACAATTCGATAATGTAAAAAACACCCGAGGCTTTGCCTGTTTCGTTTTTTACATTTGTTGACGAGTGTTGATATGTTTTGATATCAAACAAGATGAGTAGGAGATTTTATCTATCAGCCTACTCTTTCTTACACGTATAGTTCCTTTTTAAATTGACCAATCAAATTCGTGTAAAGCGATATCTCCTGGGACATTTGAAATTATGGTACACCAACACCAAAGGGTGGCGTCACATCTGTATTTTGTATCATTATATTGCAGGATTACTGGATAACCTATCTATATAAGAGATTAGTTGGAGATGGAGTATTAAGTGTATCATTTGGTGGAGATACTCATCTAAGAGCCTACGCTCATTGTACAAGAGTACCCAGGTTAGAATGCCCAACAAAAACGTATATATGGAAAATTTCATTCAAATTGTTTACTATCGTAGCAACCGTACTTGACAATCGAGACTAAGTTAAAATTATCCATTTTATCTTACGGGAGTTACGGTGGCTAAGTGGGTAAGACGCTGGCTTGCTAGCCTGGAGGTCGGGTGTTCGATCCCTACATTGGCCGAGAAGGTTCATCGGAATATTCCGACGTGGTACCCCGTTGTCAGTGGTGCAGGACGGAGGGCCTGAAAAGGACAGCTGTCTAGACGTTCGGATGGGACGAAAAACCGAGGTCCCGTGTATACATTAACGTGTACGTTAAAGATCCCTTTGATATAAGAGTAGGCGATAGTGCTGCTGCCCGGGAAAATTTTCCCTCATAGCACACTGTCTGGCGTAAGTCCGCCTTCATTAGCTCCGTCGTAGCAGAACAGTGGGATGTTAAATCCCATTTCATTTCATTTCATTTTATCATACATTTATAACATTAGAGACCAAAAAAAAGACATTTAATATGCAGAGTGGGCTCTGACATAATGAATCTTAAATTAACATAATATCATGAAATCTATCAAAGTGATCAGCAGCAATAGTGTGATATGTGCCTGACAATGTCCGTAACACCGTGCCTTATGTCCAGACTTGTACATACGTCAAAATTCTACGGAATACGGTTGGTTTGATTTCCGAATGGTTAGCGCGCGTGCGCTGTATCATAAGGTCTGTCATTGAGGGAACTGGCTTGGTTTCGATTCCCCGGTTCTACGTTAAAAGGAGTAGGGTCGCCTGTCCAACCTCATGGGTTTTCTCCGGGTCCTCCGGCTGCCTCCCACTGCTAAAAACACCTACGCGCAAGCGGATTATTGAAATAAAATTGAACCATGTGTTAGTCGAATGGACGTTAACCTATGCATTATGGCAGTGATTCACAATGGCTTTTTTTAAATTGTTTTAAGTTCACACGGTTACCATAAGGGCAGTGTAACTATTATGGCATTAATTTACAATTGGTTTTTTTTTTATTGTTTTCAGTTCCCATGGTTACAATAAGGGCAGTGTAACTATTATTCTGATGAATATTGGTTTAAATACCATGCCAGTCGAGATAAAAGGGGGTCATACACAACACCTGTATATGTTTTCACCTGGTGATAGTCACGGTCTTAATTCAGAGTATGTATACGTCATACAGTTCTACCTTTTCTGTCGAAATCGGTTTTACAAACCCGAGTAGAGGATTTGGCATGATTTCCGTCATACAGTTCTACCTTTTCTGTCGAAATCGGTTTTATAGACCCGAGTAAAGGGTTGGGCATGGTTTCCGTCATTCAGTTCTATCTTTTCTGTCGAAATCGGTTTTACAGACCCGAGTAGAGGAATTGGCATGATTTCGGTCATTCAGTTCTACCTTTTTAGTCGAATTCGGTTTTATAGACCCGAGTAAAGGGTTGGGCATGGTTTCCGTCATTCAGTTCTACCTTTTTAGTCGAATTCGGTTTTATAGACCCGAGTAAAGGGTTGGGCATGGTTTCCGTCATTCAGTTCTACCTTTTTAGTCGAATTCGGTTTTATAGACCCGCGTAAAGGGTTGGGCATGGTTTCCGTCATTCAGTTTTACCTTTTTAGTCGAATTCGGTTTTATAGACCCGAGTAAAGGGATGGGCATGGTTTTAGCCATTCCGTTCTACCTTTTCAGTCGAAATCGGTTTTATAGACCCGAATAAAGGGTTGGGGGATGGTTTCATGCCTGTGCTTTAGATCATAAGGTCTGTGGCGTGGTAAGATTTTGTTTGCCCACCTGTACGTGACAAGGACAGTTGTCTAGTCATTCGGATGGGACGAGAAACCGAGGTCCCGTGCACGTAAAAGATTCCTTGGAAGTTGGTATTCTATATAAGAGTAGGCCATAGTGCCGCTGCCCGGGCAAAATTTCCCTCATTGCACAGTGTATTGCGTATGGCGTCTTCATTATCCCAGTCGGAGCAGAAGAGTGGGACGTTAAACCCCATTTCATTTCATTTCATTTAGCTTTGGCGATAACCTTGTTTCAAATTATATGTGAGTTCAGCACCTTGTCTTTTATTTCAGGTCAATCAAACTTAACGGCCATGTTTTGAAATTAGACAGCCATAACAACTTCCCTAACATGCCTCCTGTATCACATACGGGTACAGTTCAAGTTGGGCCAGCAGCCATTGGTTTTATTGTTCTACCAGATGCCAATCATTCCGCTTGTCGTTAATAAAATATTTTTATTTGGGTATTTCGTTTGTTATATTTTCCAATATGTAAACATAGCGTTGTGTGTCTGTTGTCCGTGAAATGGTTTAAGGGACCTGGGGCCTGTTTCGTGAATCGTTTGATTGGATAATATTAGATTGATTGTAGTGCTTAGCCAATCAAAATTGAGGTATCTACTAAAATTTGAATTTTATCTTTAGTTAGGATTTCGAGAAACAGGGCCCAGGTGCGTGTTCAGGAATTTGTACAGGAAGGGGTTCTGGATGGAAACAACGGCCAGTTTGGCGTGAGATCTGGCAGATTAACCGAGAATTTGATAAAATCGGAAGCTCTGAGACAATATTTCTGCTCATTTAGGTGCATACATGTTTAGAATTAGATTGGAGTGAGGACAAAAGGGCGTTATTCGATGAATGTAGATGTAATTAGGTCATTCCGGGACTAACATATGGTTCAATTTTATTTCAATAATTCGCTTGCGCGTAGGTGTCTTTAGCAGTGGGAGGAAACCAGAGAACCCGGAGAAACCCCACGAGGTTGGACAGGCGACCCTACTCCTTGTCACGTACAACCGAGGATTCGAAACTACGTCAGTTGACTCATCAATGACAGACCTTATGATACAGCACGCACGTGCTAACCATTCGGCCAGCGTGAGCACCAATGTATGTGATGGTTCACATCGGATACCTGAGGCTTTTGCAAGTTTTTGATGGCAGAAAAAATAAGTGATTGCAGTATAAAATCTACCTAAAACACGTGCTTTAATCTTTTCCAGTGACAATGACCTGTAGATGCGCGTCCTTAATTCCGATAGGGCTCCTTCTTATTTCAAACCAAAACATTGAAGCATGTTCCTGAAACAAAAAAAGGCCTAAAATAGTCGTTTAATGACAGAAACAATTACACAAATTTCCTTTGTTTGGGATCTGGAGTTCGAAGATCAGTATTAATCACAGGGGGGTTATTTCGGTATATCACAATCCTTAGTAAAACAGGAGTTGTCTCCCTTTAGCTACGGCTCTTACAGAGGTAAATTAATGGCTAATTTCTAGCGGCTGTCGATATGTTTGTTCAATTTACACCCCGATTAGCATTCATTTCATAATCAACACACGATGCTCTGCCATCGTTGGACTTTAGAGAATTTGTGTTGGCGGGAACGGTCATTTTGTCGCTGTGGGTTGCGAGCGAGGAGAAAGGGGTGCAGCTGCTAAACCGGATTTGACAACTGAACAACGGGTAATTTACAATTTACACACGTCAGCTGTCCATCTGGAACGGACAAAGGTCAGTCAAGATTTGCAGCAGATTTATGAATTAATTGGGACTGGAAAGAGTTGTAGATGAATTGAAGTCATCGCACGAGGATTAAAGAACACAGTTGTAATGGTATGTATTTTCTCTATTATGCAATCGTCCTATCAACATAACAGGAAGGTTTTCGGTCAGTTAAAAATATCAACAAAGATTAGATTACCCAGACTTTAGTGTGGTTGTTGTTCATTTTTCTCGATTATCACGACAACCAAATTAGCAATCTGGCACAGACGGTGAACAGGATATTAGACCAGGTGTAAATCAATCTCATGGAGTGAGAATTTTACTAATATTGAAAAGAATTTTACTAATATTGAAAAGAATTTTAAATCAAATTGGGGATCTATTCGCGAAAATACTTTTCAAGTTAGAGTTGACATATTTTAACAGAAATGCCAAAAACGTGTAAGTTTCTAATATAAGATGTTTGGATTTTTTAAATAAAATTTAGGTCATCTTGGGATTAACATATGGTTCAATTTTGATTAAATAATTTTGTGTAGGAATCTTTAATAGTTGGGGGAAACCGAAGGACCCGGAGAAACCCCACGTGGTCAGACAGGCGACCCTTCTCCTTGTCACGTGCAAACTGGGAATTAAAACCATGCTACTTGACTCAGTAACATTATTTATGATTTAAAGCCGGTCGGGGCAAAACTGTAGGACGTTAAGCCCCATTTTATTTTCATTTCATGATTTAAAGCACAAGCGTTTAACCAATCGGTCGCTATCACCTTAATTTTTACGGAAAAATCGCGCTTACTGGTTAGTTTCCTGACTGAAGGGGATTCTTGGTGTTTAACGTCCACTTCCACCGAGGGTGATATCACAGACAAATTATATTTTCATTTTTATTTTCTTAGCGCACGTACACGTCCTCTAGTTTCTTCCCACTGCTAAAGAAACGCGCAAGCGGATTATTGAAATGAAATTGAACCGTATGTTTGTCCCGAAATGACCTCTCCTTGAAAGATGTGTTATGTCAGAGCTAAATCTGCCCATTGCAATCTTTCTTTTGGCCTCAAATGTTTTATATAAATTGTTATTCAGACATTTATTCAGATGCCATAATCAGCTCTCTAGACGTTCGGATGTTTGTGATTGTAAACGGATTGAAGTGCGATCGCCATTTTATCAGTTAAATTAAAAATAGATAATCGAGACTTTGTTTATTATCGTAACAGCGGTAGCAATAAAAATCGAAACAACGCAGGGGGGTTGGATGGCTGAATGGTTAGCGTGCGCGCGCTGTATCATAAAGTCTGTCATTGAGTCGACTGGCGTGGTTCGAATCCCCGGTTGTACGTGGCAAGGAGTAGGGTCGCCTGTCCAACCTCGTGGGTTTTCTCCGGGTCCTTTGAATACTCTTACAGGTATCTTTATCAAGCCATGATTTCTCTTTGTCCTCCGGTTTCCTCCCACTGCTAAAGACCCCTACGCGCAAGCGAATTATTGAAATAAAATTAAACCATATGTTAGTGCCGAAATGACCTAGTTTGTGTCAAGTGGACGTTAAATCCCATTTCTCTCTCTCTCTCTCGAAACAACGCTATTTTTCAATTATTCTCAACTTGCTCAGAATATGATTTTGCATTCGTTCCATTTGCGGCCTTGGTATTGAAATTTCTTCCTTTTTTATTAATAAAAAACATAGTGGAGCATTAGATAGTCTTTAAAGATACGTTTCCACATACAAACTGCGCGATTTAATGATATATTTGGACTGACAACATATTCAAACTAATTAATCTATCAAACAATTTCTTCAAATCCCCCCCCCCCCCAATATCTGTTTTTAGAAGCCATGTTTTAAAAAATCTGTTTTTAGAAGCCATGTTTTAAAAAATCTGTTTTTAGAAGCCATGTTTTAAAAAATCTGTTTTTAGAAGCCATGTTTGTCATCTAACTTGATTGAGGGAGGGTCAATTTTTCAGAATGTATTTATCATTACTTACTGTCCATTTACCATATATATTGGGGCCTAAGTAATTTCCTAAAATATTTTTTGTCGACTTCCTTTTCCGCCGTTTAATTGCAGAGTCTGTTATACGTTTAGACACCTCAATGTTCCCATAACCGCTCAACCATTCGATCAAGAAATAGCAACCGCTCCCCCAGTCAAGCTAGCATACAATCAGCCGTCGGACAAGCTGTCGGGTTGCCAGTTAGTGATACTGCGGTATTTTTGCCCAGCGCTTGCCCCATGGGTGTTTTCGGTTAACCCAGTATTTTTATAGTAAGATTGGGTGTCTCTACTTTCCATGTATACCAAATTTGCCATACTTTTATTAGAAATAACCGCCCGATAAATACTTTCGTGACAATGTATCTTTAATCTTTTGTTTAATTTTACATAGGCAGAACGACCACCAGTGGAGGATGATTTAAAAATATTGAGTCGAAGTAGCAAGGAGAAGATTTACCTTCGCATTAACAGTAGTACTGGTGCTGACGTCAGTGATGACGAAACAAGATCAGGTGCCGCTTCGTCTTCCGGTAGCTTTAAGAGGAAACTTCAAAATGAACCAACGGATGAGGTCACGTTGGCTTTAGATCAGATAATGGACCGGGCTGGGGATCCTCACAACTCTTCTATGGACATGTTTCTAACCAAACCACCTATATGTAAAGCTGTAGAGATCGGGCAGCTCTCTGCCGTTCGTTCTCTGTTAGATGCAGGCTTTGACAACACTGCCAAAGATTGTGACGGGAATTCCCCTTTGCATTTAGCCGTTTGTTTAAAATTGTACGAAATTATGCAGTTGCTGTTGGATCGTAATTCGCCTCTCGATTCTTGTAATATTGTGGGCTATACACCTCTTCATATGGCAGTTATTAATAGAGATATCCATGCTACCCATTTAATCTTAGAAACCAATCAAACACCAGTTTTAAGTTATATTTCTCAGGGTGTTGCATGTCCCCCCATTGATCTCAGGGCACTGTTCTCAGGGGATACTTGCCTCCATATTGCCACAGAACAGAACTGTATAGAAATGGTTAACATCATTATCATGAATGGTGCTAATATGAATGCTTTGAATTTCCAGTCGCAGTCGCCCTTGATTCTGGCTTGCAGATATAACTACGTGGACATAGTAGCGCTATTGTTAGACAAGGGTGCCGATTCCAACCTTAAGGGTTACTTTGGTAACGAGAGAGTTACGCCCCTTGGATTGTGCGCTAGATTAAATAGAATAGAATTGACCCGGATGTTAGTAGAACATGGTGCTGATGTAAACGCACATGATGATAGTGGTCCGTGTCCATTATTTATATCGCTTAATCATCGATCCGATGACGTCACAGATTACTTTTTCGCAGAGTGTCTTGACAAGGGTCTGGACGTGACCGTCTGCCGTAGAAATAAGGAAACTCTTATGCACGCGCTAATGTTGTATACCGGAGATAAGCGCATCCAGTATGCTCGGAACCTTGTTTCCAATGGATGCTCGGTGAATCAAGCCACGCGCTCGAAACAATGTCCATTGCACGAGGCAATCGGATGGCGGGATACCAAGATGGTATCGGTTTTATTAGAATTAGGAGCAGACATGGACATGTTAGATCGCTGGGGACAGAAAGCTTTGCACGTCGCCGTATCAGCAGGCGTAGAAGATGTAGTCCGACTGCTGCTCTACCACGGAGCTGGGATTAACTCGGTCACAACTTTAGGCGTATCCCCTCTATTTATGGCCCTTGAATACCAGCATAAAGAATTAGCTGAATATTTAATATGTAATGGCAGTAATCTACAACAAGAACTCTATTTACTAGCGCATGAAGTAAAACGCCCTATTTTCGTAGCCATGGAAAATAAGCTTACACCTCAGTATTTACAGACAAACCCATCGTATCTGAACCATCTTAGACACCAAGCCGGGTCCCCGACTAAACTTTTTATACGCTGTGTCAGTAAAATACGTCATATATTAAAACAAAGTAACCAATCATTAGCAACAGCCTATGAACTCCCGCTTCCGGTTGTGTTACAGCAGCAAATTAGTTTTGGAATTCACCCAGAAAGTATATGACCGAATTAATATTTGTTTTAAATATTGTTAATTAATTTCATTGATTATATTTTTTAGTGGGGATTGGGGAGGGTTAATATAGGCTAGGCCTGTTCCCCAATCCCTATTCAGATATAATTCTGAATAAAATATTGTTTAAGTAAATAGAATTATCTTGGAGTGATGTTGTGACTGTTTCGATCCATTTAGATAATTCCTTCCTTCAACAACTATGTTATAGTTAGTAAATGTTGTTTTATAAAAGAAACCAAGGTGGCTTTTTAATGAATGTTGTTTTATTAAACGTAATTAGAAGAACTATAGTTTGTCATTGGATAGAAACTCGTATTCCAAGTACATAAATGTACAGGGAATAGGTTCGTCTGTCCAACCTCGTGGCTTTTCTCCGGGTCACCCGGTTTCCTCTCAATGCTAAATGCGCCTACGCGCAAGCAAAATATTGAAATTAAATTGAACCATATGTTAGTGCCGAAATGACCTAGATTTACAATCTATTGAATGTATGTCATACATGTATTTGTACTTTCTATAGCATATTATTTATATCTATATATACACCTGAATCTACCTACATCTAGATAAATAAACACCTGAATCTAAATATAAATACACCTGAATCTTAATATACATGTATGAACCAATTTTACACAGTTTAGATTTAAACAGTAGTCCATTTAAAATTACATCAATAAATGGCGGACCAAGCTAACGTTTACCGTTAGTCGCTGATGTCACTACCGGAAACTGGTGATGAAAGGTCTGCCAGGCGAGGCTACCATAGCCATTTAGCATGTTACTTGATAATCAAGAATATGTGGTCAATCAAACGATCGCCAATTCTCATAGACGGTGCAGACACAATTGATGCCTATTTTTAGTCCAAACTTCCAACAGTGACAGTTCCGTTTAGAACAAAGTAATTTGACTGAAATTTTTAACATTTTCTTTTTTTATCATCTATTTTTGAATCATTATAGCAAGAATAGTCAACTCTTTATAAAACTCTTAACTAATGTATCATATATTTCCTTGTATGACATTTAAAAGTAGAGGTATACTATTCATAATAACATAACTATATGGATTTACTACTTCTTGCTTTATTACATATACAACGTTTCAGTACTCTTACAGGTATCTTTATCAAGCCATGATAAACTGAGAAATAGTAAATCCATAAAGTTGTGTTATTATGAAATAGGTTATTTTGTTAATAGAACCCCGGTCTAATATTTGTGCAATTAGTAGGCTAGCTACATAAAGTAGATTTTTATGTCGTATCCAATGCCTACCATGAGGTACGGCCATTCCATACTCTTTCTAATGTATGACCATATATGGTTCGTCTAGTGATAGTAAAAGCTCCCTGGTGTTTTGATTGGTGGAATTGAAATATGCAGGATATTGAATAATCTGACTAAATTTAAATGATCTATAATTTATATTCGTATATAAGAGGGGTAGGATGACCGAATGGTTAGCGCGTGCGCGTTGAGTCATAAGGTCTGTCATAGAGTCAACTGGCGTGGTTTCGATTTCCGGTTGTACGTGACAAGGAGTAGTGTCGCCTGTTCAACCTCGTGGGTTTTCTCCGGGTCACCCGGTTTCCTCTCAATGCTAAAGACGCCTACGCGCAAGCGAATTATTGAAATAAAAGTGAACCATATGTTAGTCCCGAAATAACATAGTTTGTGTATATTTATAATGTATTCTATATTGACGAATGATTTTCACCTTTTTCAAATTAATCTGTCGACCTTTGATACGGTGGGTAATTAAGTTGACTTTTACGCCATTTGCAACTTCTATTAACAGGGTTTTAATACCTATTTATCCGTTTTGGTGTAGCTACTAATTTTACCACCATTTGTATCTACTTTCGAAAGATCCAAATATCATAACCGAGAGAATTCCGCGTTTACAATGATTTGCAACGTGTACTCTGATTGGTGCTTTTAATAAAAACCACGCCCTGTTTTAAGATGTGACATTTGTTCCTTCGTTCATGAGACATAACGTCCGCTTCCACCCTGGGTGATGTCGCAGACATGGGAAGTTGCATTATTATGACTGGCCTTTATATTGTAAAGATGACTGGTATAGTCTTATGATTTGTGTTCAGTTGATTTATTTAATTTTGGTGCTGGTTAAGTTCGTTCGTGTTAGTTTTTTTTTAAAGAGATTTCCTTCATAGATTTGAAATAGTACTTGTTTATAGTAAGGCCAAGAAAAAAAAGTATCTGTGTTTACGGTAACTAATCGGCCCCAAAAATAGGTCGGGAAATCTTTTTATTTATTATTCGTATTTTTTTTTTTACTTGAGTTTTGTATTATCTCTTTTGTAGCAGTTTTTAACAAATTACTCTATCTGATTAAAACACGGATCCTATTTCGTTTCGTTTTTTTAGTTCAAAATTTCGTTTTACTTGTCTTTACTACACTAGGATCTGGAAGAGTTCTTATCATCGACGTGTTCTGGATGATGTGAAGGTTTAGTCAATCAAACGGTCTGTTTCAGCGAGCATTTGGCGTGTGCACGGAACTGTAGATAATCCACTAGAGACATCAATGCTGATTGGTTGATCAAATATCTGACGTCATAGGGTCAAAAGCCGCCCGGGTGACCTCTGACGCGACCTATCACTACAACCGGTCAGATCTTCATGTAGTGTAGGTCATCGAAAGTATAAAAAAACGAAACGAAATATAGATCTGTATTTTAATCAGATTGCAAAACTTGGTAAAAGTTTTGAAAAATCTCACCAAGACCTAGTTAAATGGGAGAAAATTGTTTATGGTCGGCAAATTTGGTTTTAAAAAATAAGGTCGGTCGGGTAAACGTAAGCACAGATTTTTTATTTTATTTTGGTCTAACCATTTAGTGCATCTATATTTATGATGTATGGTATACATGTATAGCATGTATAAGCTTTAAATATACTTAATTTATATAAATTATATTAAACTCATAATCTTTGTTAACAGATTAATCTATCTAATTGTTATATAATAAAACTAATTGTTAAAAAAATAAACCTGTCTTATGATAAGGCATTTCAAAGCCAAAGTACTGAGATTTAATAAAGAAATGGAATGGGGTTTAACGTCCTACTGCTCTGTTCCGACTGGGCTAATGAAGACGGGCATACGAGCCACACAGTGTACTATGATGTGAAATTTTGCTCGGACAGCAGTACTAAGGCCTACTCCTATATCGAATTCCAACTGTCAAGGGATCTATTGCGTACACGCCAATTTGTACTCTGGACCTCGGTTTATCGTCCCATCCGAACGACTAGACAGCTCTTCTTGTCATACTCTCCGTTTTGCATCTATGACAAGGCCGAGCCACGCCGGCCAATGCAGGAATCGAACACCCGACCTCCGGGCTAGTGAGCCAGCGTATTACCCACCTAGCCACCATGACCCCCCATTTAACAAAGGAATGGGCGTTACCCTTAAGCAGAACACTTGAGTCCAGGACATCTCACATAATTACCGCTTCTATTTGCCAATCTCAGTTTAAAATATGATTAAAACAAAGAGAAAATAATTCTTTCCGGTTTATTTTCCATTATAGTGACAATTCAATGCCTAAAAAGCGCGAAACGAATGTTATACCCGTATTTTAACCAGACTGTCATATTGCCGACCGTCTAAATTAGCTCAGTCGGAGTAGAACAGTAGGACGTTAAGCCTCATTTAATTTTCAGTTTGCCTGTAGCTGTTGATTGCAATTAAGAGGATAAAGTGGTCTGATTCCATAATAGGACCCAACAATTTAAGAGTTATGCCCCTTTATACAGTGAAGAGATCGAACTTTGCTCCTTGCACATTGCCCCTTGCACATTGCCCCTTGCATTATAACTGGAAGTAAATGGTAATGTAATGTATTTTATTTTTTTGTTTTATTGATAAAACACTTTCATATTTGAATGATTTAGCTTGTTTCACATTATTATTCATTACGGAAAAAGAGATGAAAAACTTCATTCACCAAATGCAAATAGAGCTACTAATCTCTCGTCATTGTTTTATCAGATCTAGGCCTACTGCCTGTTAAATAAAACATAATATTACATAATAGAAATGAAATGAAATCAGGTTTAACGCCCTACTATTCTGCTCCTAAACTGGGCTAATGAAGACGGGCATACGCCATATAGTGTACTATGAGTCAATTTTTGCCCGGGCAGCGGCACTACGGCCTTCCCTTATATCGAATTCCAACTGCCAAGGGATCCTTTACGTGCACGCCAATGTGTACACGGGACCTCGGTTTTTCGCCCAATCCGAACTACTAGACAGCTGTCAGGCCCGCCTCCGTCCTGCATCACTGACATGGGGGAACCACGCCGGAAAATCTGCATGAACTTTCTCGGCCAATGCAGAGATCGATCACTCGACCTCCAGACTAGCGAGCCAAAGTCTTACCCAGCGTGATCCCCCTACTTCCTTTATCTCTTCTTCAATATATCGGTTTTCGCCAGTCCAACCTCGTGGGGTTTCTCTGTGTCCCCCGGTTTCCTCCCAATGCTAAAGTCCCCAACGCTCAAGCGAATAATTGAAATAAAATTGAACTTTGTGAAATACGCACATGACAAATGTTCCGGATTAGCACTTTTTGATTTAAAAAAAAACAAACAAAAACACAACGGGCGTAAAACTTTAAATTACTCCATTTTGTATTCAGATTTTGACTAGGGGCTGATTAAAGGGGCATTGTCATATTTGGTGACCTTTAAATATTACATTATTCCTAATTTGCATTGTTATATATTATGCACAGCTGCAACATTTGACAATGTCTCTTTTAATCGCCTCTTATAAATTTAACTTGTTAAATTCCCTTTTTTTCAGAACAGCGACCTGGAGAAATCTATGCACGTGTACTAGTTATGAAAACCGCATTGGTAATAGGCGCATCTCGTGGAATTGGCCGCCAGATTGCCCTGACTTTGGCTAAAAATGGCTACAACATATGCGTGGCAGCAAAAACAACAGAAGATTCGGATAAACTTCCAGGAAGCATCCATACTGTGACGAAGGAAATCCAAGAATCGGGTGGCAATGCGATCCCTGTTCAGTGTAATGCCAGAAGTGAAAATGAGATAAGGCAAACGGTGAAAACTTGTATTAATCATTTTGGTGGGTTAGATGTCGCCGTGTACAATGCAGGCGCCATTTTGTGGAATAAGATCATGGAAACGCCCTTTAAAAGGTTTGAACTCCTGCTAGACGTAAACTTACGAGGTGCTTACGTCATGTTGGAGGAAGTTCTAGCATATTTCACGAAAAAGAATTCTGGGAAGGTTATTATGGTGTCGCCTCCTATTTATAGCAGGTTAGTTACTGAGTTGTTAAATATAAATTAATTTAATAAAATCAAAACCATAAATGATTACTTTTAAATATTTTTAGTATGATATTTATTTAGGGAAAGGATATGAATTCAGACAACTTGACACTAGCTGAACATACACACAGATGTTAACATAATTGAGAGAGGGGGGATGGCCGAATGGTTAGCGCCTGCGTGTTGTGTTATAAGGCCTTTCAATGAGTCAACGAGTCAACTGGCGGGGTTTGGATTCCCCGATTGTACGTGACAAGGAGTAGGGTCGCCTGTCCAACCTTGTGGGTTTTCTCCGGGTCCTCCGGTTTCCTCCCACTGCTAAAGACCCCTTCGCGAATTACTGAAATAAAATTGAACCATAAGGCCTTTCAATGAGTCAACGAGTCAACTGGCGGGGTTTGGATCCCCCGGTTGTACGTGACAAGGAGTAGGGTCGCCTGTCCAACCTTGTGGGTTTTCTCCGGGTCCTCCGGTTTCCTCCCACTGCTAAAGACCCCTTCGCGAATTACTGAAATAAAATTGAACCATAAGTTAGCCCCATAAGTTAGTCTCTCTCTCTCCTTCTCTCTCTCCCTTTCTCTCTCTTCTCTCTGGCTTGCTAACGTTCCGTTTTCGGCGTGGTTTCTAAATTTGGAGTTGTTCTCTTTGTTATTGCAGATTTTTTAAAGGAAAAACTCCCTACTCAGTTAGTAAAATGGGAGTTAGTATTCTTGTTCAAGGATTGGGCATTGAACTTAAAGACACGGGTAAGATGCTTTATTATGTCTTTCTTGTAAAGAGGGTTGGATGACCGAATGGTTAACGCGTGTGCGTTTGATCAGAAGGTCTGCCATTGAGTCAAGTGGTGTGGTTTCGATTCCCCGCTTGTACGTGACCTGGAATAGAGTCGCCTGTCCAACCTCGTAGGTTTTCACCGGGTCCTCTCTGGTCTTCTCCCCTGCGCACAAGGGAATTATTGAAATAAAATTTAACCATGTGTTAGTCCCGAAATGACACACTCTCTCTCTCTCTCTCTCTCTCTCTCTCTCTCTCTCTCTCTCGATATTGTTTAGTTTCACTTTTGAGTTGTACAATCAAAATATGTCTTACATAAAATTCTATACCACATGATCCTATGATAATTTGTGTAATCTAGACGCCCTGATTGCGAATTTCGTGATGTTTAATTGCAATAAACGTTGGAACCCAGAGAACGAACAGATAATAGACCCCCTGTCCCGAGATAAACTTTCAGACCCGCCCTCTTTTGTGTATAAATTGTTACGTCGTGGTTAGGGGAATCCCCTAATCTGTACCACCGTCGGTGCTGAATTCTTAAGTTTGTCCTCGTTTTGTATGTGACCCGTGATATATTATAAACTATCTTATATTTAGGTGTAGCTGTGACGTCTTTATGGCCTGCTACGGCGATCAGGTCACATGTCACCGACGTCATGGGACTAGACAAGAAAATAATGCGAACACCAGATATATTTGCTGATGCCTGTTTGAATATTGCACAAGAAGAATCAAACCGGTAGGCAATTATATAGTACCAATATATTAATAAATAGAGAATCTCCTACGAGTCTTGTTTAATATCAAAATATATTCAAACACAATTCGATAAAGTAAAAAAAACGAGTTGCCGAGTTGTTTTTTTTTTTACTTTATCGACGAATTAACTATAAGAGTAGGCCGTGGCGCCACTGTCCTGGCAACATTGCATGGTGAATGCCCGTCTTTATTAGTCCAGTCTGTAAAGAAAAATGGGATGTTAAAACCCCCATTTCAGTTCATTTACATTTTTAGTCCTGTTACAATACAGAACAAGGAGTGGATCGCTTAGCTAACCTCGTGGGTTTTCTCCAGGTCCTCCCACTGCTAAAGATCCCTAAAGAAACCAAATAATTGAAAACGTAGGGTCGCCTGCCCAACCACGTGTGTTTTCTCCGGATCGTTCCACTACTAAAGACACTTACGCACAAGCGAATTATTGAAATAAAATTGAATCATGTGTTAGTCCCGAAATGACCTAGCTTATGTCAAGTGGCCGTTAAACTCTCTATCTTAGCGATTGGGAAACACATTAAACAGTACACAATTTTTATGGGAAAACAATGGTTATCATGTGCGCGCTGTATCATTAGGTCTGTCATTGAGTCAACTCTACGTGACAAGGAGTTGGGTCGCCTGTCCAACTTCGTGGGTTTTCTCCGGGTCTTCGGTTTCCACCCACTGCTAAAGACCTCTACGTGGAAGCGAATTATTGAAATAAAATTGAAAGATGTGTTAGTCCCGAAAGGACCTAGTTTGTGTCGAGTGGATGTTAAAACCTCTCTCTCTCTCTCCCTCTCTCTCTCTCTCCCTTATCGTTATCAATCACAATGATAAAGTTATTTTTGTTTTTCATATAGATTAAATGGACAGTGTCTGATCGATGAAGATTATCTCAGATCAGTAGGTATTACAGACTTCGCCCAGTATAGATGTGACCCAGAGCACGAACCACCCAGAATGATGCCACGTAAATTTCCCTCACTTAAAGTTGCGGAAGAAGAAGAGGTCACCGCTAAACTATAAAACTATAAGACATATCGAACTAAATGTGATTTAAAGTTTCCTATAAATTTTTGTATCTATATAAATATATTTTCTCATTATTTTGATGTGTTTTTGTTTTGGGGGGGGGGGTAATTATTTTCCAGTCAATATATCTATTGCTTGTGAATGGAATGTTTATCTTACCATAACCTAGAATTCTTTAATATTGATCCATACATTTAGCTTCTTTTAGATTGGGGTGGGGGGGGGGGGTGTCACCGGGTCCTCCGGTTTCCTTCGACTGCTAAAGACCCCTACGCGCAAGCGAAATATTGAAATAGAATTGAAACATGTGTTAGTCCCTAAAATGACCTAGTTTGTGTCGAGTGAACGTTAAACCCCATCTCTCTCTCTCTCCCTCTCTTTCTCTCTCTCTCTCTCTCTCGGTATGTCTGTGGTTCATGTGTTCATGTGTTCACGGGTCATCAGGTTTTCGTCCCATCCGAACGACTAACGCTGTCCCTTTTCAGGCCCTATGTCCTGCACTGCTGACAAGGAGGGACCAGACCGGAAAACCCCGATGATCTTTTCCGGGCAACGCAGGGATCCAGTTTAACGAGTCAACGGCTTGCTCACTGAGCCACCGTGGCTCCATGAAAACGGTTCAGTGGTGTCGAGCAAACGAAAAGCCATTCCCCTACCAAATGAAATGGTTGATTGATTGATGAAATTGAAATCATAAAATGAAATGTTTCTTTGAATTGTAATTGGATACAATATCTTCTGCTTCGTGCTAATACGGTGGTTTCTGGGATGGGAATATCTTCGCCAATTCTACACGTTCATTTTGTTTAATATCCACATCATAGCCAATATACATAACACAATGTCACGACACGGATTAACCCGAAAATCATATTTTGCCACTTTGCAATCACTTACAAATGTCGTCTGCTGGTTACGGCGCCAGAACGTCACGTTCGAGGCTCGAGATGTGCAAATCCGAAGCTGATGGTAATACCAGTAGCGCGCCAATTGATCCGCCGAGTTGAGCGCGTGTTTCCAGAGAGCATGCCATGATTGAATCGAAAGATTATCAAAAGGGCTGTTATTAATCCACGCTGGATGAAACACAAGCAAACATCTTTATTTAGTGAAGGTCTGTCGTGCCCAGAGCTCTGTTTGTGCTAATGCACCAAGATTGGAGAGGTATCTTGTTATAGCGCGACCTCTGTATTTGCCTACAATTAACGTGAATGCTTTTTGTCGCCGCGACGTGCATTTATTCCAAAGTTGGACATGTTTGATTGTAACTTTAAGCTCTTCGTCTTATGATAAATAAACTGGGTGGAGAGGATTAAACTCTTCTTGCAACTGTTATTACTTTCATTAACTTCATAAATACAAAAAGGCCAGAGACATAATGATACTTGATATGCTATTGGTTCCTGTATAATTCCAGGGTTAACATCGGTGACGTGCTGAGAGAGAGAGAGAGAGGGAGAGAGAGAGAGAGAGAGAGGGGAGAGAGGGAGGTTTAACGTCCACTCGACATAAACTAGGTCATTTCGGGACTAACATATAGTTCAAAATTATGTCAATAATTCGTTTGTGCGTAAGGGTCCTAAGCAGTGGGAGGAAACCGGAGGACCCGGAGAGAGAGAGAGAGAGAGAGAGGGCGGCAGAGGAGGAGATGCCAGCAGGAGGCACAGATTAAAATTAAACTTAAGTTTTTTTAAATTTGAAATATATCACTTTTAACTTTGTTGTGTACAAGCTGTCCTGCTTAATTTGAATAAAATGTTTAATTCCTCTGTATAAAATGTCCCCCTTTCTTGATATTAGGCCCTATACACTTAGGTACATACCATCAAGGAGTTAGCTCCTTGCTTTACTCCAGGACGGGTTTAATATAGGCTATGCCTTTTCCACAATCCCTTATAAACATCTTATTCGTTTAAAACTAAAATTAGTAAACTAAAAATAGGAACCTTTTTTTTTTAAACTAAAATTATTAAACTTTTTTTTAAACTAATATTAGTAAACTTTTTTTAAAACTAAAATGAGTAAACTTTTTTTTAAAAAAACTAATATTAGTAAACTTCTTACCTTTTTGGTTTTTACCTTAAATTAGTAAAATTGGCAAACTTCTTATTTTTTTTAAAAACACAAGACTAGATCATCTTAATTCAATACTCTATTTTCAAACAGGGGCCTGTTCCAAGAAATTGTATCTAAGATAAAATCCAAATTTTAGTAATTTGATTGGATAATATTAGATTGATTTTAGTGCTTAGCCAACCAAAATTGAAGTATCTACTAAAATTTGATTTTATCTTTAGTTAAGATTTCGAGAAACAGGGCCATGGATAGCTTGTGTAAGGGACATAATCGCTTTAGACGCGTCTTGGTTCATAATAAACTCAAAAAGAAACGTTTAAGCAATAAATTAATAATCAAGATAAATTAACTTAACAACAGTTCGTTACTTCTTGTGAAGTGAGTTTTTCATGGAATAACAAAATGAAGATCTGTCATTAAAGAACGAAATAAGCATTTTGACCGACACAATCAGACTTCGTTTGTTATATCTTTGTTTCAAAACACAATCACATACCTTGATCTAAATGCTCCTCTATACAAGAATTAAATAGTATCAATTTACTATAGAATAGGCTACACCAGGGTTTCCGCACCTCTCTTTATTTGTTTTGTGCAAGGGAGCCACGGTGGCTAAGTGGGTAAGATGCTGGCTCGCTAACCTGGAGGTCGGTGTTCGATCCCTGCATTCGGATGGGATGAAAAACCGAGGTCCTGTGTATGCATTGTCGTGCACGTAAAAGATCCCTTGGCAGTTTGAATTCAATATAAGAGTACGCCGCTGCCCTGGCAAAATTTTCCTTACAGCACACTGTATGGCGTATGCCCGTCTTCATTAGCCCAATCAGAGCAGAAAAGTAGGACGTTAAACCCCATTTCATTTCATCTCATCTTTGTTTTGCGCACGTTGGCGTGCATGTTAAAGAAGCCTTAACAGTTGGAGTTGGAATTCGATATAGGAGTAGACCCTAAACCCGCTGTCCGGGCACAACTTCCCGTATAGTGCACTGTATGGCCCTCTGGACACCCCATCCCGTAAACCCACTGTCCGGGCACAACTTCCCGCATAGCACACTGTATGGCCCTCTGGACACCCCATCCCGTAAACCCACTGTCCGGGCACAACTTCCAGCATAGCACACTGTATGGCCCCCTAGACACCCCATCCCAACCTTGACACGCGCCTGTGAAATGAACTAAGTTTTGGGAAGCACCCCTCCCTGTTAGACGGTCGATGTGGAAGATTGAATGGGCCTTGAATTTAATATTGATTTGTCGAATTGCCGAACTACAGACTATCAGTTGTTATATTGTGAAAACATCAACACAATTAACGCCATTAATCCCTGAACACACTCATGCATACAAAATACAATTATACAATATTATTTTATACCACAAAATATCACCGTTACCAGTTATCTGATGACATGAGTTTTTCTAAAACACGCTTTTTAATCGTTCCATCGGCCCCGTTCTGCGTTTTCTTTTCTCTTAGAAGCAGTAAAAATCGCACTAATCCGCTAACTAAGTGAATTGATTGAACGCTCAAATTAAACGCCGTCTTTTATCCAAAAAAAAAATGATTGTATGGCGATTAATATAACATAATACTCGTTATGGTTTATAAAGAAAAAAATAGATTTGGTGCTTTCTGTGATGCTAATTTGAGTATAAAATCGATGTACAGTTAGAATAATGAAATTAATTCTAAAAGACAATCATACATTTCCTTGTATCATATAGACAAATAATTTTAAAGGGGATGTTCAAATAAAACAAATGAATTTCAGTCTTTGTTTTAAACAATAGTTTTATTCATTAAATCTGAATTTGGATTGGGGAACAGGGGGTATGCCTATGTGTAACCCCTCCCTCTGATTTAGATACACATTATATTTCAGTGTTTGCGTAGGGGGGGGGGGTAGCCTCGTGGGTTTTCTCCGGGTCCTCTGGTTTCCTCCCACTGCTAAAGACCCCTACGCGCAAGCGAATTATTGAAATAAAATTAAACCATATGTTAGTCCAGAAATGACCTAGTTTGTGTCGAGTGGACGTTAAACCCCATCTCTCTCTCTCTCTCTCTCTCTCTCTTTGCGTAGGGAAGAGGGTGGTGGGGTGGATGACTGAATGGTTAGCAAGTGCGCTCTGTATCAGAAGGTCTGTCATTGAGTCAACTGGCGTGGGTTTGATTGCCCGCATGTACGTGACAGGGAGTAGGTCACCTGTCTAACCTCGTGGGTTTTCTCCGGGTATTCCGGTTCCCCCCACTGTTAAAATTGAGAAAAAATTGAATTTTGAGTTTTAACTGCCAAGGGTTATTTTACGTGCACACTATTGTATACATTGGAGATCTGTTTTTCGTCCTATCCGAACGACTATACCCTGTACCTTTCCAGCCCCTCCGCCCTGTACCACTGACAAGAGGGGGGGGGGCACGCCGGAAATTCCCGATAACCTTTCCACATGAAATGACTGGGCTAATGAAGACGGGCTAACGCCATGAGGGAAATTTTGCCCGGACAGTGGCGGTACGGTCTACTCATATATTGAATTCCAACTGTCAAGGAAGCTTTACGTGCACGTCAATGTGTACACGGGTTTACGTCCCATCCAAACGACTAGACAGCTGTCCTTGCCAGACCCACCTTCCTGCACCCCTGACAAGGGGAAACCACGACGGAAAAATCCGACGAACTTTCTCGGCCAACACCAGGAGAACTCAAGACTAGGGTCCTCAAGACTAGCTAGCCAGCGTCTTACTCACTTAGCCACCGTGGCTCCCCCACAGTCAACACAGGGATCGAAACACGGGACCTCCAGGTTAGCGAGCCAACGTCTTACTCCTGAGCCACCTTGGCTCATAATTACGTAGTCGTTGGTGTTCTAACTATGCACAAATTACGTAGTTTACAATATCAATCTTTTTTCGCCTTCCCGTTTGAAACAAATTGATAAAATATAAATTTAACACTCGGGTTGATAACCATCACTTCAAATTTATCACGTACTTGGAAAA